TGCTTCATACTTCAGGAAAGTAAGGGAAAAATCTGTAACAAATTCTTAAGCCCATTATACAGGCTTACTTCTCATTCATAAATATATGTAAAATATATGGATTTAAGAGTCCATTTGATAATCAAGGCCCCCCCAGTATGAGATTACAAGGGCAGTTGAGATTATCATAAGTATTCAGTGCCTCTTTTAAATATTTCCAGGATCTACTTTTCCCTCCCACTGTCTTTGTTGGTCTTTTCCTGATTGGTATATTTCAAACACTATAATGTAAATGCAGTGCTCATCACTGGGAACATGAAATTTCTTACTTTGCAAAGGATGTGGAATTGCACAAAACCCTGAGAGTGATATTAGAAAACTAGTCAATTACATATAAAATCATTGACAAATAAAGATCTGATTGAGTTAGACTAGTTATCAATTAAAAGGAAATGACAGAAATGAGGACATGCTATTCAGAGAATTCAGAGAATTATGTGAATATCTCATGGGACTAAGGAAAGGCCCTTGGGAAAATGGATAAAGCCCTTGAAGTTTATATAGAAATGACTCTCTGTAGTACAAGACTCAAATATGAAGTAAGGGTGTTATATTTTGCTGTCATAATTTTGTTGGAAAAATTATGCAGGAAAACCCATTTAATTTATTCTTATTCTACAAATTTGCATATGTTTATATAAATATAAGATAAATGTTAAAAATTATTATGATTTTAGTTTTTAGATAAAGACAACACTTTTTTTCCCTTGTACAATGAAATGTTGGTACCTGTTTTAAAGAAATTCTATTTCAATTGCTGTTATCCTTCACCAATTATCCTCTGATAATGAAGACTTCAATTTATCCAGATGTCCAGTTTATCCAGAACTATTATAGTCATATGTTGGGGTTTGATGGGAACATATGGAGCAGTTTTATAATTCATAAACTCATAGATTTCAGGGTGTATGGAGTGTTTCCTGTTTATTAGAGACTATGGAGTTAAAAACATTTTACAATCATTAAATTATTAGGCTAGACTGAGTTTTAATTTGAGAAGATTGAGCCAGATCTCCAAGAATTTGTTTAACACTTTACATTCTCTGCATCTGCTTGCTTTAGTATAAGAATTGTGGATACTTTAACTGGTCTCCTAATCTACATTCTTAGTTTTCTATAATTTATTCTCTTCACCAATGATTCTTCAATACCAAGATTTTTAACAGGTAAAATTTTGAGGCAAAATGAGAAAACTAAAGTCAAAGTGTTGAATTTTTCATTAAGGTAAATTTATTCAATTCAAATTATTAGCTTTTATTCCAAGATTATATTCTTTGTACATTATTGGTATTAAAATATTTTCCATGCAACAATGGTAATTTTTCAATGGCCTTATTGACAAAAATTTTAAAACTGATCCCCCACTTCATTTTATTTGTTATGAAAATCCAAGAGTTTTGGAAACTAGCTACCTCAGAGATCTTTTTGAAACTCTTATCATTTCCTTTTCTTACCTAAAGCCTTTAGGGTGGACCACTGTGGCCTAAGGTGGTATAATGCCACTGGGGTTTTGTTTTTTTTTAAGATTTTATTTATTTGATAGAGAAACAGTGAGAGAGGGAACACAAGCAGGGGGAGTGGGAGAGGGAGAAGCAGGCTTCCCGTGGAGCATGCGGGACTTGATCCCAGGACCCTGGGATCAGGACCTCAGCCGAAGGCAGATGCTCAACAACTGAGCCACCCAGGCACCCCGCCACTGGGGTTTTGAATCCATATGTGCATTAAGTATTTTCTGTAGACTAAATAAAATATCTTATTTTTTCCCTAAATTTTTTAAACGTAAGAAGATGCTCTGTGATGATGAACAGTTTATTTTAAAAGTTTGACTTTCCAGTTGCCTTTTGTCATGGTGTATTTTTTCAGTCGTTTAATTCCTGTCAGGAAGTCATTAAAATATTTTTACTTTAAAAAGCCTAATCAGTAAAGATAAAACCATAGGGGGAAAAAATGGACTTGACAATTTTGATTTGTAAAAATTTTGATATAGTAAGAAAATATATAAACCACATAATAAGATAAAAGTATATATGGAAAATATATTCAACATACTGTCTTTTTTTTCAACATACTGTCTTTGAAAAACTGAGGTATATTATCTTTACTATAAAGAGAATTTATAACTCTAATAAAAATAATACAGCAATAGGAAAATCAGTAAGGAATATGAATAGCAATTCACAAGAGAAAATAATCTTCCAATTATTATGAAAAACGTTCAACTTTACTAAAAATAAAAGTTTCAACTTAAGATTTTTTTTTCCCCTGACACTTAGCAGAATTAAAAAATAATCTGTGTGACAGGGCTTGGAGAAGTGGACACTGTTAACTGCTGGTGGAACTACGTATCAGTATGTTCTTTTGAGGATAGTTTGGCTGTATGTATCAAAAGCCTTACATTTTTTAAAATCCCTTTTTACTTAGCAATACATTTTTCTGGGGATGTACTTAGAAAAATAACTAGGGATGTGATTAATATTTAGCTATTAGGTTGTTCATCATAGTGTTTTTTAGTGTAAACTCTTTTACACTACATAAATTTTTACACTAAATAAAACCATTTAATGGTTTTAGTGCAAACCATAGTAAAAAATTGGAAGCAATATAAACGCCCAGCAATTGCTTATTAGTTTAAAAAAGAAACAAGATACGGTTCATTCATACAGTGAAGCTATTCAGCCATTAAGAATGATTTTGTCAATAAATCTTTAGTAACATGGCAAAATATTTATGACATGACATTTATTATTGAAATATAAGAATTAGGCTATCAGTAACAGTGGTTATTTTTATTGTGGACTTTTTTTCCATTTAAAAAATATTCACCCTCTCCCTCTGACCCTCCCCCAGCTTGTGCTCTCTCTTGCTCACTCAAATAAATCTTAACAAATATTCACCCTCTCCCTCTGACCCTCCCCCAGCTTGTGCTCTCTCTTGCTCACTCAAATAAATAAAATCTTAAAAAAAAAAAAATGCAGAGGGGTGCCTGGGTGGCTCAGTCGTTAAGCATCTGCCTTCCGCTCAGGTCATGATCCCAGCGTCCTGGGATCAAACCCCACATCCGGACTCCCTGCTCAGTGGGCAACCTGTTTCTCCCTCTCCCACTCCCCCTGCTTGTGTTCCCTCTCTTGCTCTCTGTCAAAAAATAAAATCTTAAAAAAAAAAAAGCAAAGATCTTTAAAAAAGTTACTGGGAATCACTACAGAATAAATCCATGATATATTCTCCTCTTATTTCTACTTTTCAACACACAGTACTTCTAACTACTGTTGCCTCTGAGTATATACCATCCCCTTACATGCCTCTGTACCTTTGCTTATCCCTTGGTCACTTAGGGAGTACCTGCCTCATCTTTTAAAATCAGGTCAAATGACCCCACCATGAAGTCTTTCTTGACCACCCTTTTCTTTCTTTTCTTTTCTTTTTTTAGATCTTATGTATTTGTCAGAGAGAGAGAGCACATAAGCAGGGGCAGCGGCAGGCAGAGGGAGAAGCAGGCTTCCCACTGAGCAAAGAGCCTGACACAGGACTCGATCCCAGAACCCTGGGATCATGACCTGAGCCGAAGGCAGAGGCTCAACCAACTGAGCCACTCAGGCGCCCCTGATCACCCTTTTCTTTGCTTATTCCATGCAATTATTTTGTACAATTACATATTTATAATTTTTTTCCACTAGGTAGTGAACCCCTATCTCATGCATAATAAATTTTTGTGAGTACTTATTACATGCCTGGCACTGTGTGTGTTGGGTACTACAGATCTAACAATGAACTATGCAGACAGTTCCCCTGTCTTCAAGGAGTTTATAGCCTTATGAAGTTATTCCTTACACTGTATATTAAGTGTTATGACAGAAATAGAGAGTACTTTGGAGATTAGAAGATTGGTAAATCTATCCCAAGCTGGATAGAGAAGGAAGTCTTCCTGGAGGGGATGATAGCTAAATAACAAAAAGAAAGGAAGTGTTTAGTCAGGTCAAGGGGTAGAGTGAAGGTGGTTTCTAGTAGTAGAAACAGCTTGTACAACAGCTGGGAATTTTAAAACTGTGTTAAGTTTTAGGAAGTTTGTTATGGTATTTATGGATACTGAGGTTGATTTCTGATAAAAAATAATTAAATATAATTTTATCTTGGAAGAAGTTCCAGAATTCATTTCTTCTCTCTACAAGAGATTAGGAAGTAATATATAACAGCATATGTTAGAGAAAGCATCCTAATGTTGAATTAGGCAGAAATTCAAGTGTTGAAAAAGAAATAAAAGAAATTCAAGTGTGATTGGTAGGTTTGTTGTTTTTTAAGTATTTGTATAGAATATATTCTCACTAAGCATTGAGAAATTAGTGTAAAATAATTAAAAGTCTGAATTACAGAGTATTTTATTGGTATATCTTGTAATCTTAACTGGTCCTAATAAAATATTGCTACGTATGATTATTTGGGGGAATGCCTTTGAATTAATAGATTAAAAATATGGCATTTTGTTAGTAGTTTTTATATGTAAATGTGTTCTAAATAGAAAGACATTACTTGTAGCAGGGTAAATATTTCTCATAATTATGAACCCTTAAAGCTTAACATATCTCCCTCTGCAATCAAGTCTTCAAAATCTCCTCTGTCTCCTATTAAATTGTCTCTCACCATTTGTGTTTCCTATACAGATTCTAAAGTTCTTTTTTCTCTCTAGCACTGTTCCCCAAACATCCACCTCTAGATCCACTTCCAATAAAAATCAATAATATAAAGCAAATTGATAAAATTACATTGTGGTCCTCCTTAAATCATAGTGTCCTTTCCTGATTATGTGAATTATGCTTACTATTTATTGATATCCATATCACTGGGTTTATACAGTCAGTTTGTAGTCCTTTTTTGTTTGTTTTCTTGATTAGGTAATACAGAGACTGTTTCTCAAGTTTTCTTTAACAAGAGATTAAATAAATCAGTTTTTCTTTTCTGCTTTGTAGATTTCTTGATAACCGGCTGTTTGCTACCTGCTCTGATGACACTACAATAGCACTATGGGATCTGAGAAAACTGAACACCAAAGTATGCACTTTACATGGTCACACTAGCTGGGTGAAGAACATCGAATATGATACTAATACGAGACTCTTAGTAACATCAGGATTTGATGGAAATGTCATTATTTGGGACACCAACAGGTTTGTGAATAGGAAACCATGTTAGGATTGTGAACAACAACAAAAAAATTTTTTAAAGATTTCTTTATTTGTCAGAGAGAGGGAGAGAGAGTGAGCGAGCATGTGGGGGGGTGCAGAGGGAGAGGGAGAGAGAGAATCTTAAGCAGACTCCCTGCTGAGCGCAGAACCTGGTGTGGGACTCCGTCTCACAATCCTGAGGTCATGACCTGAGAAATCAAAGAGTTCGACCTTTAACTGACTGAGCCACCCAGTTGCCCCCCAGAAATATTTGTTTAAAATGGTAGAGAAATTCAGTGTTTTGTCTTAGCTTTCATATCTCTTTAGGAGAAAGAACCTGACTTCGGGAAAAATAATCAAAAATGATTCCATCTTTTGTTACTTGCTCTTAGTCATATATTGCAACTAAAACATTTGGAGAAAAGTTTATGGAAAGGAGACCAAGTAGTACAGTTAATAATGAAAACTGGTTTATAAGATGAGTTTCCTAAATTTAAGGAATTTAAGGAAAAATATTTTTGTTATTTCCTCTGTGGAACAGAAATGTTTTTCATTCTTCGGTCCTTCAATTCTAAACTTACTTATTTTGTAATTTTTGTACTTTTTTTCATGCATTAAAATAATAGTTTCTCAGTGGGAATGTTTAGAAATAATGTGTGGTGCAGTTTTAGTTGTCACTATGGGAAGAGAAGAGAGGATTACTGGCATTTAGTAAACAGGGATCAGAGTTTCTAAACATCCTGCATGGAACATTTTGCACAGTAGACTAGTCCCATCTAAAATGTTAGTAATGCTGCTGTTGTGAAACACTTCAATGAAATGTCTCCTTATGGAGAAGTTGATTATTTAAAAAACCCTGAAGTTTGGGACACTTGGGTGGTTCAGTTGGTTAAGCATCTCTTGATCTCAGCTCAAGTCTTATCTCAGGGTCGTTAGTTCAAGCCCTGCGTTAGGCTCCGTGTTGGGTGTGGTGCCTACATAAAATAATCAAGAAAAATAGAGTTGAAGTTTGAAAAATAATTAAAACATACCTATTGCTAGCCATGGTGAAATGACAATGCAGTAATACACCAGGACCATTTCTGAAATATTCTTTTCAGAGGTCATATGTAAAAAGAGAGGATATTCTTAGAGATTTCTAACTATGCATATTGTTTGAGCAGAGGATATACAGATCTCTTTAGACTAAGACAAGCATACCTGTTAAAATTTAGAAGTTTATTTTTTTTAATTTAGAAATAAAATTTGAATAGGAATATGGATGGTAACTTCCAAATTAGTGGACAAAAGCTAGTAAAACATGATCAATCCAACAGAAGCAGAGAAGGGGGAAAATCATTTTTAAAAAAGAGGTAAATTGGGAAGCACAAAAATATGGTAGGCAGAAAATCCAAATATCAATAATCGCAGTAAATATATATAGACTAAAGTAGCCAGTTAAAAGATAGATAGGGTTAGATTGGATTAAAAAAGAAAACCAAACTATGTTCTTTGTAAGGAACACACCCAAAACATGCAAATGAGAAAGTCTAAAAGTAAAAGCATGGGAAAAAAATAACAGGCAAATTCAAATCAAAGAGAAACAGTTATATTTACATTAATAACAAACAAAATAGAATATAAGGCATAAAGCATTATTAGTGGTTAAAAAAGGTACTGTGCTAAAAGGTTTATTTCACTAGAACATAAAAGAATTCTTATCTTAAATGTACCTAATAACATAGCTTCAAACCATAAAAAGCAAAAATGGACAGAATTACAAGAAAAAACTAAGAATCCCCATCTCAGTGGAAAATAGTAACACTATTCTCTCATTTACTAATAGATAAAATAGACCAAAAAATTAGTAAGACCATAGGAGGTCTTATAGTAATAAACTTGATTTATTAGGCATATTTAGAATTCTCCCAACAAATAGTGAATACATCCTCTGAAGCAAAAGTAGAACATGTACTAGATTACAAAGTAAGTTTCAACCAATATCAAAGATTTGTTATCACACAAATGATTTTTCCTGACCTCAGTATAGTTAATTAAAACACAGGTAACTAAAAATTCCCATGTTTGGAGATTTATAAACTCACTTCCTAAATAATTCATGGATTGAAGAAGAACTCATCGGGAAATCAGTAGACTAAAAATTAGTGAACTAAGCATTATACTCAAAAAAACTGGAAAAAGGTAAAAAGAGTAAACCCAATGAAAGATTATGGAAATAATAAAGATAAAAGCAGAAATTAGTAAAATTGAAAATAAATGTACAATAAAGTTTTTTTTTTTAAGCCTGCTTTTTGAATCTCTGGTAGGATTCATCCAGAGAAATAAGACAAAAGAATAATCTTAATAAAAAAAGAGACAAAATATATATATATGATAATATCACTTTTATGCCAATATACTTGAAAACTTTGATGAAATAGTTTATTCAAAAAATACACCTTAGCAAAACTGATCAAGAGAGAAATAGAAAACCTAAATACACCTGTTACCTGGACTGATATTTAACCAATATGCAGTGATTGAGGTGAAGTAGTTGTTAAAATATTAAACTACTTCTGTAGTTAATACAGAAGTTAAATGTGGTAACTGTAGTTAAATGATAAATAGCCACTATCCTGAATCATCCCCGGGCAGTCATATCCTGGCACCCTCTGGTTACCCAGGCCCTTCTTTTAGGGATACCTCCCTCAAGATCTCCCTATGATCTAGTAGCTAAAGTCCCCCTTAAACTACCCCGTTTCCCCCACTTTTTTTTTGGTTGTTCAGCATCTCATTTAATTCTGAGAACAGTCTCATGAGTTAGATAACTATTATCCCATTTTATTTATTTATTTTTTAAAGATTTTATTTGACAGAGATAGCGAGAGCAGGAACACAAGCAGGGGGAGTGATGCGGGGCTCGATCCCAGGACCCTGGGATCATGACCTGAGCCAAAGGCAGGCGCTTAATGCCTGAGCCACCCAGGCACCCCTATTATCCCATTTTAGAGCTAAGGAAACCAAGGTCAGAGAGGTTGGGTATCTTGCCCACATGACTGTCAATAAGACAGTAAATTATGAGCCAAGAGTCAAACCCCTGGTTTATAGACTGCTGAGAGGCACCCTTTGTTGATGGAAGTTTTAAGATCTTACAGTAGAGTAATTCCAGGACTCAGTTCCAACACTGCCAACTGCATCAATTCTGACTGGCTCATTTTCATGCATTGCTGGTTATTTAAATATTCTAAACATTGCCTCTGCCATAGCCATTAAAGAAATGGAAAATATCAATTAAAATTTATCTACTAATAAAACAGCAGGCCTGTCAGTTTTACAGGTGACTTCTGTAAGACAGTACAAAAACAGAACATTCCAGTTTTATTAAGTTGTTCACATTCCAGAAAAAGGGAAATCTCCTTACCTCATGTATGAAGCTAGTATAACCTTAATATATAAACTCAACAAAGATAATATTAGAAGAGAAAAAATGAAAGGTCAATCTGTAATGTGAATGTAGATACAAATATTCTAAATAGAAGAAACTGAAACTTCTAAGATATTAATCAGAATATCATGACCAAGTTGGGTTTATTCAGGAATGACAAGATGATACATTTGGGGCGCCTGGCTGGCTCAGTCAGAAGAGCATGCAACTCTTGATCTCGGGGTTGTGAGTTCGAGCCCCATATTGGGTGTATAGGTCACTTAAAAAAGATAAATCAATAGAAAAAAAAATTTTTTTTATTTGACAGAGAGCATGCACAAGCTGGGGTAGCAGCAGGCAGAAGGAGAGGGAAAAGCGGGCTCCCTGACACAGGGTTCGATACCAGGACTCTGGGATGATGACCTGAGCCAAAGGCAGACACTTAACCAACTGAGCCACCTAGGTGCCCCTATCAATAGAAATTCTATTAATATAACTTATCACATTAACAGATTAAACAAAGTCCATATGATTGTTTTAATCAAGGAATAAAATTCAACATTCAATCATAATTAAAAACAAAAGAGAGGACATTATTACCAGTCTTATAGAGATTAAAAGGAATATAAAGGGATACAGTGAAGAACTTTATGACAACAAATCAGACAACTCAGATAAACAAATACCTGGACAGTCACAAATTACTTAAACTGATTCAAGAACAAATAGAAAATCTATAGACCCACAGACCTAAAGCAAGTAAAAAATCGAACTGGTAATTTAAAAATCTTTCCACAGTGAAAAGCCCAGTCCCAAAAGTCTTCACTGGTGAATTTTACCAAACATTTATAGAATAAATAATATCAATCTTTCACAGACTCTTCTAGAAAATAGAGGAGAACACTACCAAACTCATTTTATGAGGCTGGTATTATTACTCTGATACCAAACCAGACAAACATCATAAGAATAGAAAACTACAGACCAATATTCCTCAAAAACAAAAAGAAGAAAAATAGATACCAAATCCTCAAAAAAATATTAGCAAATCAAACCTAGCATCATGTATAAAGGATTATATGTCACAATAGTAGAATTTACCCAAGGAATAGAGGGTTGGTTTAATATCCAAAAATCAATGTGATACATCATATTAATAAAGGTCAAAACCCATAAACAGGATCATCTCAAGAAAGGTAGAAAAGCACTTGACAAAATCCAATACCCATTTGTAATAAAACTGGGAATAATAGGGAACTTTTATTCCCTAGACAGCTGATAAAGGACATCTGAGAAATTTATAGCTAAAATCATTTTTGTAAAGATTTTTTTTTTATTAGAGAGAATACCCTAGTGGGGGGTTAGGGGCAGAGGGAGAGGGACAAATAGACTCCCCACTGAGTGGAGAGCCCGACGACACAGGGCTCGATCCCAGGACCCCGAGATCATGACCTAAGCTGAAGGTAGATGCTTAACCAACTCAGCCACCCAGGCGCCCCTGGCTAAAATCATCTTAATGTTGAAAAACTGAATACATTTACCCTAAGATTGGTTATAAGGCAAGGATGTCTGCTCCCACCACTTTTATTCAATATTGTATTGGAGGTACAGTTGCACTGGAAGTGCAGTCAGGCAAGAAAAAGAAATACCAGGCATCCAGATTGGAAAGGAAGAAGCAATCTTCATATGTGGATATGATCTTATATATAGAAAATCTTAAGGATTCCACAAAAATACTAGAACTAATAAGTTCAGCAAGGTTACAAGATATACAAGATTAATATACACAAATCAATTGTATTTCTACTTATAAGCAATGAACAATCTAAAAATGAAGAAGATTCCATTCATAATTGCATCTAAAGAAATAAGATACTTAGTAATGTATTTAACAAAAAAAAGTACAAGATTTTTACACCGAAAACTATAAAAACATTGCTGAAAGAAATGTAAGAAGATGTAAATGAATGGAGAGGCATTCCATCTTAATGGATTGGAAGACTCAGCATCATTAAGATGGTAATTTTAGGGGTGCCTAGCTGGCTCAGTCAGGACAGCATGTGACTCTTGATCTCAGGGCTATGAATTCAAGCCCCACATGGGGTGTAGAGCTTACTTAAAAAAATAAATAATAAGATTACAGAGGACACAAAAAATTTTTTTAAAGATGGCAATTGTCTCCAAGTTAATCTATAGATTCATTGCAATCCCTGTCAAGATTACAGCTGTCTTTTTTGGACCAATTGTTAAGCTGATTCTAGAATTTATTTTTTATTTTTATGTTTTTATTTTTTTTAAAGATTTTTATTTGAGAGAGAGAGAATGAGAGAGAGCATGAGAGGGGGTAGGGTCAGAGGGAGAAGCAGACTCCCCGCTGAGCAGGGAGCCCAATGCGGGACTTGATCCTGGGACTCCAGGAGCATGACCTGAGCTGAAGGCGGTCGCTTAACCAACTGAGCCACCCAGGTGCCCCTGATTCTAGAATTTATATGGAAATACAAATGACCCAGAATAGCCAAAACAATCTTGAAAAGAAGAACAAAGTTGAAAGACTCACACTCTCAATTTTAGAACTTACTACAAAGCCATAGTAATCAAAACAGTGTTTATTGGCATGGGATAGGCATATAAATCAAAGGAACAGAATTTTGAAAGTACAGAAATAAACCCTTGCATTTATGATCAGTTGATTTTCAGTTCAACAAAGGTGCCAAGGTAATTTAGTGGTTCAGAAAAGGATAGTCTTTTCAATAAATGATACCTGAGCAACTGGATATCCACATGCAAAAAGATGAATTTAGACCCTTATTTTACATCAAAACAAGAAACTCAAAATGGATTTAAACCTGAAGGTAAGAGATAAAATGACATAATTCAAAGAAAACATGGAAGTAAATCTTCATGCAAACCAAAGCACAAGTGATTAAAAAAATTGATAAAATGAACTTCATTAAAATTAAAAACTTTTGTGTGTCAGGTGATACCATTAAGAAAGTGAAAAGAAAAACTACAGGATGGGAGAAAATAATTGTAAATTACATCTGATCAAGGATTTGTGTCCAGAATATATAAAGAACTCTTGCAACTCACTTTAAATATACACAAATAACCCAACTTTAAAATGGGCAAAATATCTGCACAGACATTTCACCAAGGAAGATAATATAAATGATTAATAGGCATGTGAAAAGATGATCAACATCATTAGTCATAAGGAAAATGCAAGTCAAAACCAAAATGAGGAACCATTTCATATCCACTAAGATGGCTTTAATTTAGAAAGACAATAATAAGTATTGTCAAGAATGTGGAGAAACTGGATCCTCATACATTGCTGGTAGGGATGTAAAGTGGTACAGCCACTTGAGAAAAGTTTGGTAGTTTCTTAAAATGTTAAACAGATTTATCATCTGACCAGCCATTCCACTCCTAGGTATCTACCCAAGAGAAATGAACACCTATCACCACACAAAGATTTGTACGTGAATGCTTATAACAGTATTATTCATAATATCCCCAAAAGGGAATCAGTACAAATATCTATCAATTGGTAAATGAATAAACAAAATGTGGTATATCTACATAATAGAATACTGGTAATGAAAAGGAACAGATACTAATATGTGCTACAACATGGATGAACCTCAAAAAACAGTATGCTAAGTGAAAAAAGCCAAACCAAAAGACCACATGTATAATTCTATTTATATTAAATGTCCACAATAAGCAGATCTATAGAGACTACTTAATGGCTGCCTGTGACTGGGAATAGGAACAGGGAGAGACTGCTAGTGGGCAGGAGGGATTTTTTAGGATGATGAGAATGTTCTAAAATTGGGTTGATTGCACAACTCCATAAATTTACTAAAAATCACTTAATTGTTAAAATGAATTTTATGATATGTAAATTATATCTCAAAGCTATTAAACTTAATTAAAAATAGAAGGAAACTCATCAGAAGTGTACACTAAAACCTACAGGACATTTTTAAATGGTGAAACTTTTAGAAGTTTTCTCTATACGGGTACCTGGCTGGCTCAGTCACTAGAGCATGTGACTCTTGATCTCAAGGTTGTGAGTTCAAGCCCCAGATTGAGTATGGAGCTTACTTAAAAAAAATTTTTTTTTTCTCTATAAAATCAAGAAGGGAGAATATGGCTGCTATTACTACTACTGTATACCACTGTTTGGGGGTGGCAGAAGACAGGGTCCTAGTCGGTACAGGAAAATAAATATGGAAGGATTAGAAAGGAAAAAAAATGAAAAACGCATTCACAGATGATATGATTGTCTATATGAAGGGTTGGCAAATTTTCTATAAAAGACTGTAATAAATATTTTAGGCTTTGTGTGCTGTATAGTCTCTGAGCAGCCATCGACAGTACATAAATGGATATTGCTGTGTTCCAACCAACTTTCTATATAAAAACAGGCAATAGTCCAGACTTAGCCCATAGACCAGTGTTCTGACTGGTCTATATAGTAAATCTTAGAAATTCTGACAAATTATCAGAATTAGTAAGAGTTAACCAAGATTGCTAAGATCAAAATGTAAAAATCAGTACTGTTCCTATTTATCACAAGAAACAATTAAAAAATTTAAAGCATATAGTTTTTAGTAATTAAAAAATTTTTTTTAAAAACCAGGATGGGTCAAGTAGCAGATTAGACACAACTTTAAAAAATAGATTGGAAGCTAGATATTAAAAATTATCCAGAATGTAACAGAAATGAAGAGATAGAATATAAGAAAGAGCAGCTATGAGATGAGAATGAAATGTGAGTGTTTCAAACATCTATTTGGAGCTCCAAAAGAATAGAGAAAATATGTGAGAGGCAATATTGGAATAATGATGGAGAATTTCCCAGAATATATGAATAATATGAATCTTAAGATTTAGAAAGTCAAATGAATCCCAATAAATTAGAAAGAAATCCAAATTTAAACATATATCAGAGTGAAACTGCAGTACTCCAAAGACAAGGAGAAGATCAAAGGATAAATTGTCCAAAGTAACAATTGCACTAATAGCCGACTTAAAAATAGCAACAATGGAAGCCAGAACTCAATGGAATATTATCCCCAATATTCAGAACAACATAAAGTGACAGTTTACCTCAACAAAATCTTAACTTAAAAATGTATATTTCAGAAAGAATAAAATGGAAAGTTGGGAGATGAAAGAAGGAATGGTGAGCAGAAACAAAAAAAATGTTTATCATGTATAAAAGACTAAAAATACACTGACCATAAATTCTGGTTTGAAGGTCCAAAATATGACTATTACCGAATCCTTATATTTATGATAATTCTAGATTTTGTTTTGATTTCTTCTGTAGGTGTACAGAAGATGGGTGTCCACATAAGAAATTCTTTCACACACGTTTTCTCATGCGAATGAGATTAACACCAGATTGTTCCAAAATGTTGATCTCCACGTCCTCTGGATATCTTTTGATTTTGCATGATCTTGACTTAACCAAGTCTTTAGAAGTAGGCAGCTATCCCATTTTGAGAGCAAGAAGAACTACATCAAGTTCAGGTAAGCTTTTCTTTTTTGATTAAAAAAAGTTTTCCGAAGAGTCTCACACAAAGGGAGGGTATATGTTCCCATTCTGAGAACGATAGCAGGACGAAGGGAAGGAAATTAGAAGACATTTTTGGAAAGCTCATTGAGAGCTTTTTTCCCAAGAAAGTATGACCTATATGAATCTCTGACATAGCGTTAATTTGTGCTTCTGTATCACCAATGATCTAGGAAGAACTGCTAACTATAAAAATATTTTCTTTTAGCGCTTTCTGCTGTCCAGAAAATCTTTTATCAGTATTTCTAAATCATCACTATCTCAAAAATTAGTGGTGGCCCGAGGTAGGTTCAATCTTCCAGCAGAGCTTTATTATTTATTTTATTTTAATTTTTATTTCACAACCCTGAGATCAAGACCTGAGCTGAGATCAAGAGTCAGATGCTGAAATCACTGGGCCACCAAGGCACCCTACCTAGCAGAGCTTTTAAGATATATTCAATATAGCGCTTTACTTTTAAGTCTGTATTACATCCTAGAATTCCAGATGTCTATACCCAGGTAGCAGGTGTCATCCTATTTCACAGCCTCTAAACATCCTCTTGCTAAAGCTGTATTTTTTTTTTAAGAAAAGATTTATTTATTTTAGAGGGAGAGAGAGCAGGGGAGGGGCAGAGGGAGAGAGAATCCTGAAGCAGACTACCCTGCTGAGTGGGGAACACAATTGGGGGGGGCGGGGCTCAATCCCAGGACTCTGAGATTATGACCCAGGCTGAAACCAAGAATCGGCCGCTTAACCGACTTAGCCACCTAGGTGCCCCTAAAGTTGTATTCTTTTTCCTGTTGCTGATTCCATTAGACTTCAGTGAAATTGGGGCTCAGAAAAACATGCACTATATCTACAGTATGTGATAGAGGCTATATTTCATCACCTTTGAGAAAAAGAGGGCTGTTCCAAGAACATACCTATTTATAATTTTGCATTTATGAACAAGAACCCAGAAAAAAAGACAAGCATTTGGAACACAATGTTTATAAATTGCTGTTTAAAAATCAGCTTCAGACGGTTGGACTCTTTCTCCTGTATGCATAGGGCCATAGGGCCACATCTGAAGACTCCTCTGGGAAAGTGCAGGCCCTGTTTTAATTGCATTTGCCCAGTTTCACTGCTAAAAGTAGAAATTTAAGTTTTACCAGCTTATTTGCAAAGCAAGGGATTTCATAAATATGTGAGTATAATCCTTTTACATTCAGAAATGTATTTTTAGGTTAAACATTAATAGTCAACTTTAGCTTAGAAAGGGGTAGTGAGTTAGAAAGTCTGGTTGGTATTTTTTTATTCAAAAACCAAGAATAGGGCGCCTGGGTGGCTCAGTCAGTTAAGCCTCTGCCTTCGGCTCGGTTCATGATCCCAGGGTCCTGGGACCGAGCCCCGCATTGGGCTCCCTGCTCAGTGGGGAGTCTGCTTCTCCCTCTGCCTCTGCCTTTCGCTCCCCCTGCTTGTGCTGTCTCTCTCACTCTGTCTCTCTCACTCTGTCTCAAAGAAATAAAATTAAAAAACAAAAACAAAACCCACCAAGAACATTTTGTCTTCTAAGGGTAATTCTGATAACAACATCAAAGGGAATTAGATGAAGAAATTCTCAGAAAAGTGTGGGGCCACTAGAAGAGTGAGATGTAATAGAGATTGCTTTTTGGAGTAACATATCAAACCCAACTATCTAATACTCAATTTTTGTTTTTCTTCAGATTTCAGTATAAAGTTTGTATTGCATTTCAAAGATAGTATTCACATAACTTCATGAATGGTAACAGAATTGTTTGGCATGCTTAAGAAGGCTCATTTAATGTTCTCAGTAATGAACCTGGTATTTGGACCCTATTCTAAGATTAAATGGGCTGATGAACAGCTCAGTTTTCATGTTTACTGAATTTTCTTGTTTTGTTTTACTACAGAAGTGATGGGGAACCCAAAGATGCTCCTATGTTTATTTGGTTTGTCATTTTTATTTCACTTAAGCAAGTCTTTGTTAGAAGAGATTTTAGAGAGGGCCCAGGCCTTAGAACACTTCGAAGAGTGTCCTCCCTACCTCGGTCGTGGTTATAGGCCAGCTTTAAGTGAGCGTGTACTTGCCATGTTTCAGATGGATTTAACAGTTTGCTTCAACTAGCTGATTAAAAAGTTGAGATGCTACTAGAGTTTTGCTAAGTTTATTGTCAGAACTTTTTGTATTTTCAAGATCTGACTACTTCATCAAGTTCATCTGGTCCTCGAGTTTCTGGTTCACCTTGTCATCCCAGTGATTCTAACTCATCTTCTGAGAAACACATGTCACGAGCCTCACAAAGAGAAGGTAGGTTAAAAGTGGTATTTTATAATCTTGCAACAACAGATTCTACCAAATAGCTTTCTTTGGTTTAGTTTAAATCTATACAAATAAAAGCCAATAAAGAAGAGGCTATTCTTTGACCCTGTCATTTTCAAAAGCTAACCAGTCTCTATGGTTGGATATCTTGGGCTTACATCTTTGTCGGAATTTGAGCTTTGGCTTTATTTACTGAACTTAGTTTGGTCTAGATTGGAGAAAAAGTAGTTTGGACATGTAGATTCCAGTCAGAGTTGTTATGGAAATTAAATGAGATATGCACATGACGGTGCTGTATAAAGTGATGCGTTTGTCAGGTGCTTGTGAGTCACCTGGTTCCAGCCCAGTAGACATTTTGCTCTGCCATTTCTTTATCTGAGCAATGCCTGACAGCCTTAGAGGAGTTGTGGGATAAAGTGGGCTACATTCTGGCCCTACTCTGCTTTGCCCGTTTCCCCCCACCGCTCTGGCAGAAGTAGCTGTTTAGCCCATTCTTTCCACCCCCTAAATGAGAGGCTTTTTACCTATGCAGACTTCATCTACTTCTCCATACCAGTTCACATCTACACACTTTTTGTCCTTCTTTGTGGACTGATAGCCAGATGTGGGTCTTTTTGTAATTTTGGGTCACCTTTTGGAGATGAGCATAGCTCCTACCTAGGTCTTCAGGGGAGGAGCTATCCATTATACTTCTAATTTGTGTTTTTCCTGGGTGGCCTCACCTGGTAAGTACTTGATAATTGCATACTTGATTATTTAGCATGACTACTTATGTTTGTAGAGTGGTTTGAGAGCTCTTCCTAAACCTACAGCCTATCTACTTTCCTCTGGATATTCAAGACTATGACATTTAAGGTTAAAAATTCCCATTAGAGATTTATGCCCAGATGTGTAACATTTTTCCTTTGATTTGTAGCAGAAACTTCTTTTATAGATTCTACCTGTTCTTCCACTTTGGCTTCTAAGACAAGGCTCTTAGTAATCATTGAGCAAAATCTTTATTGAACTAAACCGTCCATGAGGGGGAAAAAAAAAACTTGAGTAGTTAACTGCTTGTTGCAGTGGTAAACCCCAAAACCAAACTACACAGCAGTTTCATGATATAGAGATTGGGAATGGGAGAAGCAACGATGTGTGGAGAGCCTAGCCAGAGTGTAGAGAAGAAGGTGGGGCTCATACATAAGGTTCTTTTTTTTTTTTTTTAAGATTTTTATTTATTTATTTATTTATGAGAGAGAGAGAAGCAGAGGGAGAAGCAGGCTCCCAAGGAGCAGGGAGCCCGATGCGGGACTCGATCCCAGGACCCTGGGATCATGACCTGAGCCGAAGGCAGACGCTTAACCATCTGAGCCACCCAGCGCCCCATAAGCTTGTTCTGAATGTTGGCAATCCTGGGTCTTCAGGGTGTTGGAATGTTAGCACCATACTTTGACAGATATGGTAGCTCTATAGTGCTGAGGCTATCAAACTCAAACCAGGATTAGAATTTTTTTTTAAGTGATCTCCACACCCAATATGGGGGCTCAAACTCCAGACCCTGAGATCAAGAGTCAGATGCTCTATCGGCTGAGTCAGCCAGGTGCCCCATAAACTCTCATTCTGACATGAAATCTGCTGTGGACTCTAGCACAGATAAAGTGCAAAAACTCTGGCTCAAGTGAAATTAGGGAGTTCCTTGACCAGTCTTCCCTTCCCATCCCCATGTGGTTCCCTCCTTTTGCCAGTTCTGGAGGAACCTCCAAGGAGCACAGCTTAAAAACCACTACTTATTTAGATGGGTTTCTTTTTTGCTTTTGTTCAATTTTCAGAATTAATTGATATAGCTGTTTGTTTTTCTCTAAAATTGTTATTAAAATTCAGTCACATGTGAAATCATTATTTAGGTAGAGTTTGGTTGTAACAATGTAATTTAGAGCTTCACAGGTTTCCATCAATGCTGTAGTAATCTAAAGGGACTCTTAAAGAAGATAACACATCTGTTTGAGAAACAATTCACAAAGGGTCTGACAGAGGGAGCTCATAATCTTCAAAGCGACTCCTTCCGCAGGTAGAGAAGCATTGAAATATTTCTCTTGATATTAAATTTCTAAATTGCTTCTTTATAACGTCTGTGAAAGTGGTTCTCCACATACCTGAGGGATAGGACGTGACTCCCAGTAGTAACGGCTTGCTGTAGCAGTCACTTTCATGGGCTAGGAAGGAGGATGGGATGGGCCCTAACAGAGTACCAGGCGTGTGTATGATCAGCTATGTCTCCCAACCCCTCGTTTTGACATGCTGGAATGTGAAGTATCTTCCCTTGCCTCCAAAATTATAGCTCCGTTTATCATTTATAGTACTGTTCTTGGGGGCCCTAAGTCCTGCTCCTTGCACACATAATAATAGCCTTTTATTGATAAGAAGGGCAATCTGCATGGCTTCCAAGTATTTCCTTCTCTGGACTAGAGAGCACCAGGTCCTCTGAGATGAGAATTATCTTTTACTTTTCCAGATTCCTTTCATGTCATATAACTTTATCTTAGTTTTCTGAGATGTAAATCCTAATCAAAAGGATCCCTAGTCTTAGGTTACTGGGATTCCCGCTGCAGGAACTTGGATTCTTTAGTTCTGGTCATAACCTTTCCCCATACCCCCACCCCAAAGACATGCACACCATGCATCAAGGGGCACCACCATAGTTTTTTTTTTTTTTAAGATTTTTTTTATTTTAGAGAGCAAGCATGAGTGGGAGGTGTAGAGGGAGAGAGAGAATCTGAAGCAGACACCATGCTGAGTGTAGAGTCCAATGCGGGGCTTGAGCTCACGACCCTGAGATCACAGCCTGAGACAAAACCGAGAGTTGGCTGCTTAACTGATGGTGCCCCCCAAGCATGCCCAGATTTTCTTTTTACATGTGGTAGTACAAGGGGCTGACGAAAGAATTAAGGTTGGGGGTGGGGGTGACTGCCAGAAATCAAAGCTTTGATGAGCTGCCTTAGTCCTCTGATAATACACATTTCACATCCTAATTTTCTTATCAGGAGTTTCACCACGAAATAGTCTTGAAGTCTTAACTCCTGAAGTTCCTGGTGAGAGAGACCGTGGAAACTGCATCACGTCCTTACAGCTGCACCCAAAAGGCTGGGCCGCTCTCCTTCGGTGCTCAAGCAACACCGATGATCAGGAGGTAGGGGCAGCGGCACTCCACCTTCAACGGGGCTGACTGAACAAATAGCCGTTGCCGTGTACGCTCATGGTTTCTTTATCCCTTGAACCCCTCCTTCCTCTCCCGCCTCCTCTCCAGTGTGGCAGACTGGAAATACCTTAAACCCGTATCAACTCAGATTGTGCCCAGCTTCTTCATTCTTGCTCCCTTTATCTTGCCACATGCCCTTTATATAGTAAACTTTAGATGGAGATGCTTCCGCCAAGCTGGCTAAATGTAAGGTTTTGCTAAGCCAATTGAGTATTAGAATTTGCTCTTTTTAAAAATAAGGGGAGGGGCGCCTCGGTGGCTCAGTTGGTTAAGTGTCTGCCTTCAGCTCAGATCATATCCCAGCGTCTGGGGATCGAATCCTGAGTTGGGCTCCCTGCTCAGCGGGAAGCCTGCTTCTCCCTCTGCCTGCCGCTCCCCCTGCTTGTCCTTGCTCTCAAATCATACCAGGGGAAACCAGGGAGAGACTAAACTGATGACTAGGGGAAAAGAGAGAAGAGCCTTTGAAGTATGTAGGAGGAGAGGTATTTTAGGGCTTAGATGTCTAAACTTTAGAATATTTTAAGTATCAAGATTGTTGTTACTTTCACAAAGGGGAATTATTACCACAGAAGTCACAGCAGCCTGAGGGAATAAAAGGCTTTAGTCATAGTACATCACAGTACACAGAATAACCTTGGCTTATGAAGATAAGGTATAGGGCCTGCACATTTTAGTAGATGGGAGAGGGGTAGCAGTTATCTGATTTCTTGCAACAGTTCTGTGGCTTTAGCAGCCTGTTGAGCTTTTTACAAAAAGAAATATCTAGTGTTATTTGGGGCTCTGTAACTTTGGTTTCTCTCTCTTCTCTCCCCTTAGTGGACTTGTGTCTATGAATTCCAAGAAGGAGCTCCCGTGCGACCTGTCTCACCTCGCTGTTCTCTACGATTAACTCATTACATTGAAGAAGCCAATGTAGGCAGGGGTTATATCAAAGAACTTTGCTTCAGCCCTGATGGGCGAATGATCTCTTCCCCACATGGCTACGGGATTCGCTTGTTGGGATTTGACAAACAGTGCAGTGAACTTATAGACTGTTTGCCCAAAGAAGCCAGTCCTCTGCGGGTGATCCGTTCTCTGTACTCTCATAATGATGTGGTACTGACGACAAAGTTCTCTCCAACACATTGTCAGATTGCCTCAGGGTGCCTTAGTGGACGGGTTTCTTTGTATCAGCCAAAGTTTTAGGCACAACTTAACATCAAATAAGGAACTCTTCTGGTGTTTGACTTAAAAATTACTTCAATTTAGGTGAAGTATTTCCTTTTTAGAAGATCTTAAAAGTTTGGGTCAAGATCCCAGTTCTTATGGGTCCACGAACACACCTGTGACCTGAGGACTTGGCCGTCCGGCATCATAGGAGCCTCACCAAGTTAGACTCGACGCAGCAGCAGTTTTTGCCGCATTCCTCTGCTCCTGCTCATCTGTGCCACCGGAACTTCAGTTCTTCTGGTTATTTTGCATGGTAGCTCTTGTCAAGTTTCTTTTCTTCTTTTTTGATTTCAGTGTGAATTTTGTGGACGTCTGGCAGGAGTTTTGGCTGGGTTAGGAGAAACCCGTGACACTGGTACTAAATAAAACCCAGAAGTTCGATGGCAGCATACTGGTCATTGTAAAAGAAATTTCATCTTCACTTATCAGTATACCTGGCCTTTTAAAGTTGCTGTTACGTTTCTCTGTGATGAGCACAGTTAATGGCATTATTCTCATAACTGTCAGTCTTACAACAAAAATGTCTTTTAAGTTTCCTGTTAAAATTATACGTATTTTTTCACCGTGAGGGGAATTTTCTTGTAAAACTCTAGAAAAAATAATTACCACCTCTCTTTGTAATTTACTTGTATGAATTTAAAAATCTCTAGCATGTGTCCTTATTTGGTATTTTGTTCCTGTCAACAGCATTTAGAAAGGAAAAGAGGAGAAGGAATGGGCTTTGATCCTTTCTCTTATATAGAAGAGGATTAAGTTAGTACACTATCTAGTCAGAGTGATGAGAACAATGTGGCTTAGTATCTGTTTTCTCTGCCAGACTATTTGATTCACACAGGGTGCCGTGTTACGGTGTTAGGGTGGAGGGGGGACTGAGAGTAAAGAGGTTGTGTTTTCCTCATCTTTACTCCTTGAGCCAGGTGGCACAAACTCGACCCTTAGCATTAGGGAGGGCAGAACTGCAGTCCTGTTTAAGGCGTGACCTAACTACAGTAGTCAGCGACTTGGATGTCAAGACAAAGAGCTGACGTGAAGACCTCTTGTATTTTGTTATGGAACACGGCAAGTAAAAAACATCAAGAGGGGTCAGTCACAGGGCTGACTGGCCTGCTGAAGTAAAGCAGCTTTCTTCTAGTCTCCACTTGAAATGGTATTATATTTAATAAGGGATCCACCAGAGGCTGGAGTAATTTAAGCCACATGCTAGCTCGTTCCCTCTCAGATCACATTCTCTTAGGCCAGTGGTTCTCAAATATTAGGGTGCATTACAATCATTGGGGAGCTTGTGGAAAACACAGAAACCTGGCCCTCACCTTAGGAGGTTCTGATTCAGCCAGGGAGAAGACAGGAATCTATTTTTAATAGGAACCTCAAGGGATCTTTACTCAGGTGGTCCCTGGATGAGTTTAAAAAACACTACCTTAAACATCAGTAAGTATTTCTGTACCTATTAGGTGCTTAACTCCCAGAAGGTGTTTTAATTATTAAAAAAAAAAAACTTAAGTAAATGAAATCCATTTTAGAGGTAGAAAATGTAACCAATCTCATTATCTGATGAATGAGACAAGTGACTTGCCTAAAGTCATCTTACAAAATTAGCAGCAGAGCCAGAACTGGAATTCAAGTCTCCTAATTCCTTGCTCAGGGCAATTTCTAATGTATTATGCTGGCTGTTAAAACAATGATTTATTTATGAACACTTTATCTTGTCTTTAAGTTGTATTATTGTGACTACCCTTAAACTGGCTGAGAGATTGAAAAAGGCATGGGATTAGATGCTCAGAATTCCAGCCCTAAGAAGAAAAGGATCTTAAATCTTATAGAAATGTTTAAGCAACCCAAATACATGAATAAAAATGACATCTTTGTACAACCTACCAGACAGCCATTCACACACACATGCAGAGGTTACATCTCACTTGGAACAATCTTGGCTCTAGGACAAATTTTAAAAATTAGATCATTTTACCATGGATGTTAAAAAGAATTGGAAATTTTTTAGCCGTCAAGAATACTACCACAAAATATAATGAAAACACAGGTTTGCCATAATTTTTTTTTAAAAACCCACATATTTAAAGGAAAATAAAGTTTCGGAGGCAAAAGCACCCAATCTTAACATTCAAAATAAGCTAAGTACAATAATTATATTGATCAAAGGGGATGCAATATATGGAACCTTTTTTTAGAGAGTTGCATGTCAGATGCTGGGCCCACGTGTCACCCAACTCCCGAATTTCAGTCCATGATTCTTCAACCATTAGAGAGTTTCTATGGTGTCAAATAATCTACACACTTTACTACTAACCCTCACAAAGTACCTTGCAAGGTAGGTGACATGAGTGCCAATTTACTTTGGAGGAAATGGAGGTTCTGAAAGGTTTTTTTTTTTTGAGGTTCTGAAAGGTTAAGTGATTTGCCGGAAGTCACAGAGCGGGCACCGGGGGGAGGGCAACACTGGGATTCAAACCTAGCTGTTTTAGTCCAAAGCCTGTGTGCTTACTACTCTACCACTTTGCCCTTTTGTTTATACAGGATGGGAAACTGGCCTGTTAATTTGTTTAGCATCCTCTGTAAATTCTTTATTACAGAGCTGGCTTACCTTCTGCACCATGCAAGAGAACATTTGTAAGGCTGAAAATTTCCATTAGAATTAGTACCATAAACTGCAGGGCATACATACAGTCCATTCCTAACTAAAAGACTTCGAGCAGGATAAGTAGCTGTAAAGTAAAGAAAAATGTGGGATAAACAGCTTTGTTATAAAAACAGAGCCACACAGATGAGAATTAAAAATTAGCAAACTCAACAAAACCACCTTTGTCCTCTTTTTGAGGTACGGCCGTGATCAAAACATCATGGGGGGATATTAATCCAGGAATTACAGGGCATCAGGAATGTTAGACTCTTGGAGGAAACTGCATCTTACAATTTCAAGGTCTCATTTCACTTAAGAGCATAAAATCTAATCTGGTGTTTTTTTTACTCTAAATTTTATTTAGTCATTTTTATTCATGATAATTGGTGAATGTATTATAAATGGTAATGTGGTATAGTTGTTGGTAGATGTTGTATAAATTATACTTGTTTTAAAAAGCTTTCTACAGGGACGCCTGGCTGGCTCAGTCAGTAGAGCATGCAACTCTCGATCTTGGGGTCATGAGTTTGAGCCCCACCTTGAGGGGTAGATTGTACTTAGAAGAAATCTTGAAAAAGCTTTCTACAGAAATGCTATGTTAAGTAAGTTTAGGAACATCACATATTTAGTAGTTCCTTATCTTTAATTGTGAAAACAAAGTGGCTAAAGCAGACAAGACCTCTTAATCTTTTGAAAATGTATGTGATCTTTGTTCTCAGAAGCCCAAAGAACATGTGTATTTTGTTATTTCTCCTTGTTACATCCAAGATGAGGCTATACCAAAAATTTTAGGAAAACAAGGATAATGTTCCCAACTCCTGTCTAGAACCACGATCACATCATATCATGGTTAAAGTTTAGTTTTCTAGAAAGTGCAACATAGGAAAAACACTCTGAGAATCTTAGAAGCCTAGTGTTTCCCATATTAGTCAGAATATATGGTACTGGCATCCATAAGTATCTGTTAAAGCTTGTGTTTAGCAGGAGAAATAGTCTGATAACACTGATGACAATCATCCCTATTTAACCAGCAGCAAAAAATAATAAATAAATAAATAAATAAATTAATTAAATAATTAAAAAAATGACCAGCAGCCACGGAGAGCTACGAAAATTCACTCAGTAATAGCCAGTGTTGGTCATGGAAGAAAGCATATAAATTTTTGGATAACTAACGCATATCTCTTAAGTGCCAAAATTTAAAACTTGTAAATTATTTTTAATGCAAGTCTTTCAGATATGTTAGTATACCTCCCTGCCTTCTTAAACAGCATGCTTGGTAAAATACAGTTTTTCGTGATGAAAAGTAAAAGTTATATTCATGTGTTATTACAAATACCCAATGAGCTCTGATGTATGTAAAATACTTCATAAACTGTAAAGGGCTATAACAAATATGAGTTAATATCAATTATTATAAAGTGATTCCCTCAGCCCTGAGGTATATATAATCATTTGCCTCAGGTTGCTCGGATTTGGGGATTTTTTTTATTTAAAAATTTTTCTATCTGCTAAGTAGTCTGTTCGGTCTCCTACCACAGTATCCACATGCCTGCCTCTAACAGGCTCGCTATCATGCGTGCTGTGTTCATCTGTTATGAGCTGGGACATGAGATAACCAAGCCTGCTTAGTGTCTAAAGAGCTGCACAAGCCCTGCGTGCAGTCTCTGAAACCACTGGCTTCCTGACAGGTTCACAGTAACCATCTGGATAATAGAAGTACCCCGGTAAAGCCTAGGCTAGTGAGTTTTTCAGTTGCCGCTAAGTAAAATACTATAGACGAAGGATGCTGCTAGATTAAGGAATAAACAGCAATGTACCAAAGTATAGCCAAGTAACAACAAAGGCTCTATTTGCACAGGGATCCTTCATGCTTTAAAAAAAAAAAAAAAAAAGAATCCAGGGGGGAAAAACAATGAAAATAAAATCCAGATAGACTTGAGTATTTTTGACGCCATTAAACTTGGTTAATAGCCATTAAGATACATGTTTAAATTATCACACATTGTGACAAAGCCAGTTTTAGTCTCACTGCAGAAGATCATACCAAAATTTATACCCCAAGAATTTCTCCCATTCAAATGACAACAGAAATTATCAAAAGGAAAGTCTCAAATTTACCTGTATGCTGCTTTAGTTGTAAATGAATAAATAATGGAAATATGGGATTTATCAAAACCTCCAAGGAACACATCTCCCATATGCACACCTCGTCTATGTATGTGTATATTAATGTTACTACAAAATGAAATGTCATCCAGAGACAATAAAATAACTTTAAAATTTAAGTCTTGTTCATAGTATTTAAAATAGAATTTTCTTCAGCTTTCCTATGCTTCTTCCTTATTTCAATTTCATGTTTTCTACATTAAAGTTTGGATATTTTAAATTTCACTGCATCTTCCATTTCTAAAATGTGCTTTCTGGTAAATTTTAGAATCATATTTTTAGGAAAGTTGGGAATGTTCCAGATAATATCCTAGACACCAGAAATTTTTTTCACTAGGTTCTGAGGTACTGTTAATTTCTCATGCTAGACTGTAAGCTCCTTGTGGGCAGGGGCTGTCTTACTTTTCCTGTATCCCCAATGCCCAGTACAGGATCTGACAGAGTAGTTGTTTGATAAATTATTTGTTGTAGGACTCAAATGAACCTTAGCCATATGTGGCCCCAAATTTCTGTGAAGCCAGAATGTGATGTGCAAATAGAGAAATCTTCATCAGAGTAAGATTTTTTCTGACCATAGGTCAGAAAAACTAAGCATTTCTCATTGATTTGGAAAACTGCAAAACTCAATTTTTCATTCACCAAACCTTGAATCCCTACCATAGGCCTTGTCCGGTACTAGGGATAACTAAGGTTATGGCACTGTTCATGAGCATGTGGCCGGCGCAGTTCTACAGGGCCCTGCAGGGAGAAGGGCCCCATGCTTGGTGTAAGGTTCTGCTGAAGCCATCTTAAAATTCTCAAATTTTTTGAACGAGGGGCCCATATTTCTATTTTGCACTGGGCTTCCAAATTATATAGCTGGCCCTGCTTCGATATTATCATGTTGACATGGTGGGAACAATAAGAATTATAGTATCTTTTATCTACTGTCCAGTAAAGATATTCACGTTCATTGAAAACTAGCCATAAAGTGAATGATTTAGTAAAATAACTTATAAAATCTAAAAATAGAACTCCCTCCCTCCCACAAATTTTTTCACAGATCATTTCAGAATTAGGAAAGCTCTCTGCAACTGTAATTGGCTTTTACTGTTTCAACTGAATTCTCTTGAGGACTTCATACGGATGAATGTAGAGTTGTAGGTGATTGTATCTACATACATACACACCTGCGTGCAATTTTAAGGTTTCAGTAAAACTTTTATTGATATACGCACTGAATGTCTCAGTGTAAGTCTACCTCATAACGTGCTTTTAAAAAAATAAATGCTACTTTGAAACATCTGACACACTTTTTCTGTGCTTAGCCTGTCTGAAAGGTTGATGGCAAGTTTGCATTAAGCAGTAGTTTGAAATTTTTATTTAAATTGCTTAGGTGTTCATTTTTAGACCAGAATCAAGCATCACGCTGTGACAGGGGCAGTGGCTTGGTGATTCCTGTAGGGGTATTCTGCACTTTTAAATCCTATAACCCCTGTCTGAAAAAAATTAGAGCACATGCTCCAAATTTTGATGTTATGTGTATATATATTACACACACACACATATACAAATATATATAAAATATTGTACTGTTCTATGTAAATTATAAAACATGTACAGAGAGAAAGGCAATTTTAAAAGGAGTTTTAAAAATCAAAGTTCTACATTACCTCCTGCACTTCCAGGGATCACCTTATGCTCCCCCGGGTATATGCACATTCCATTTTGTGAAGGCCACCATTCTAAAACATAGAATTGGCATTTTACACTGAACACACATTTACTAAGATCTGGTTTGTTCACATCTGTTCACTAATGTTCTGGACATTTACAAGTTTATTCAGTATGAATCATGTTTTATAGAGTCAAATTATTCAGTGAAAATTGTATTCGTATCAATAAGAAGCATTGTGGATAAATTTTTGTCAAGCTACACACTGATTTGTTTTCATATAGGTACACTTAGAACATGCTATTTTTCAGTGTTCCCTTGAATGACATTTTCTTGTTATATTAATAATTTAATAGGGTGATGGTTCATTTTATGATACTGTTTTAATTCACTAGAAGGACAATCGTATTTGGGATACTCATTTTTTAAAATAAGTCACTGAAGAGAAAAACAGTGAATCCCTTTCAATTCAGATTTTGTGAAATTATTTCGATAAACTGATTTAGCTAACCATAGCATTAATCACCACTATTTCAGTTATTCCTCTGACAGACTTGTTTTGGACTACTTAAAAAATTTTCTTTAAGGAAACAATTATTTGGCATGCTTTAATGCTAATAAATTAATGATTTACATTAGTTTCCTATTACTGATGTAACAAATTACCTACCACAAATTTAGTGGCTAAAACAACACAAATTTGGGGCGCCTGGGTGGCTCTGTCAGTTAAGCATCTGCCTTGGGCTCAGGTCATGATCCCAGGGTCCTAGGATCGAGCCCCACATCGGGCTCCCTGCTCAGCAGGGAGCCTGCTTCTCCCTCTGCCTGACGCTCCCCCTGCTTGTGCTCTCTCTGACAAAGAAATAAAATCTAAAAAAAAAAAAAAACCCACAAATTTAAAACAAAACAACACAAATTCGTGTCCACTGAGTTTCCCTCCAAGCCCTTCCCTTCTAGCACAGCATATGAAAAGTGGTGCTTTAAGTCCAGCATGCGTTGGAATCACCTGGAGGGCTTGTTAAAATACAGACCGCTGGTTTGACACCCAGAGTTTCTGATTTCAAAGGTCTGGGGTGGGAGCCCCCATTTTGCACTTCTAACCAGTTCCTAGTTGAAGCTGTACGTCTGGACACCATGATTTGAGACCTACGAGTATAGAAAATGCAGTTAGTGGGTGCCTGGGTGGCTCAGTTGGTTGAACGGCCGACTCCTGGCTTCGGCTCAGGTCACCATCTCGCGGTGGTGGGATCGAGCCTGGCCTTGGGCTCCCGCACTGAACGTGGAGCCTGCTTGGGATTCTCTCTCCCTCTGCCGCTTCCCTGCCCCCATGCATGTGTGCACACACATTTAAAAAAAAAAAAAAGAAAATGCAGTTAGGGTCTAATTTTTCATGGATGACAGATCCTAGGGATCTCTATGTAGATAAAGGAAGCCAATTTAGAAAGCATTTTTTTTTTTAAGAGAACATCTTAACTTTGGAGGTCATTACAGATGGACAACGGTTCGTCCGTCGGCACGCCATTCTCAGTACACTGTCAGGGGGGCACTCCAGTGAGAGCTGAGCCTCCCCCATTTAACACGGTACGTAAGTCAGTGGGCAGTCAGTCAGACCGCGGTACATAAGTCAGCGGGCAGTCAGTCAGACCGTGGTACGTAAGTTAGCGGGCAGTCAGTCAGACCATCTTACCTTCTGAGGCAGACTTGGTGCTGTGTGGCTTCTCTTCTAGCCCAGAGGAGCGCCGTCACAGAAACCCTCTCTGGGGTGAGCTGTAGACAGCTGCAGCTGTTGCTTACAATAAATCCACAAAAGGAACACCCGAAACTTTTACCAGGGCATACACAACTCAAAACATTTTTAAAACCTTTTCTGGGGACACAGTGGTCTCCACTGAAAGCCATCTAAATTACGGGTGCACTGGGCTGCCACGTTAACATTAATTCACAAAAGTCCTTCACTATTATAAAAGATCAGTTTTCAGGTAAAATGAAGGATCCAACTTTCACTGTGAAAGGATTACTTTTTCTTTTTTTAAAGAATTTATTTATTTGACAGAGACACAGCGAGAGAGGGAACACAAGCAGGGGGAGTGGGAGAGGGAGAAGCAGGCTTCCCGCGGAGCAGGGAGCCCGATGTGGGGCTCGATCCCAGGACCCTGGGAGCATGACCTGAGCCGAAGGCAGACGCTTAACAGCTGGGCCATCCAGGCGCCCCCTCAATATTGTTTAAGATTTTATTTACTTATTTGACAGAGAGAGATCACAAGTAGGCAGACAGGCAGGCAGTGGGAGAGGGAGAAGCAGGCTCCCTGCTGAGCACAGAGCCCCATGCGGTCCATCCCAGAACCCTGGGATCATGACCTGAGCTGATGATCTGAAGGCAGACGCTTAACAACTGAGCCACCAAGGCGCCCCAAAGAATTACTTTTTTAAAAGTGAAATACAAAGCATCGGATCTGTTCTGGAAATGCTGTATTTATTCTGAAGCAGTTATTACCCAGTCTTTTGTGTGCCGCACACATGCGTGCAAGCACTTAATGAATGTATGTAATTAAAAGAAGGATTTCCTGCCATTTATTGAAATTTGCAGTTCACTGGCAGGAAAATCATGATCCTTCCCCTTGTCCCTTCAAGGGGCAGGTAGACAGAGCCCTTGCCTCTGGGGCAGTCTTAGAAGGTAAGGTGATTAGCCCTGGCACCATCTGTGGGTGGTGGGGGTGGTGGCTGCCGCAGGCTGCTATTCCCTTCTAGGAAGGATTTCTCTAGCATCCCGTGACTTCATTTATAGTCTAAGAACTAACACACTAAAAGAATTAAACTGGGGGCACCTGGGTGGCTCAGTCAGTTAAGAGCCTGCTTTTGGTTCATGTCATGATCCCCGCATCGGACTCCCTGCTCGGTGGGGAGCCTGCTTCTCCCTCTGCCTCTGCTGCTCCCCCTGCTTGTGCTCCCTATCAAATAAAATCTTTAAAAAATAAATAAAAAGTGGGTGCCTGGGTGGCTCAGTTGGTTAAGCCACTGCCTTCAGCTCAGGTCATGATCCTGGAGTCCCAGGATCCAGTCCCGCATTGGGCTCCCTGCTCAGCAGGGAGTCTGCTTCTCCACTCTGACCCTATCCCCTCTCATGTGCTCGCTCTCTCTCATTCTCTCTCTCAAATAAATAAAATCTTTAAAAAAAATAAAAATAAAAAATAAAAAGTAAAAGAATTAAACTGAATCAATACAATGCGGACAGCAGATCCTGTGATAAACTCCCTGATGATTTCTCTCAGCGTTATGAAAATGTTCAACATAGAGCAAAGTTGAATTTTACAGTGAACATCTGTTGACCACGATTCTACCATTATCGTCTTCCAGTTTTATCACGTATCTAATACTCTATCCATCAATCCATCTTAATTTTTGATATATTTTGAATAAATTGCAGATGGCTATAGCCATCCTCCTAAAAATCCTCAGCAATACCTATCATTGAAGTTCAGTATCTTTTTGTTTTAAATTTTCCACATGATGAAGTACACAAGTATTAATGGTATGTTTGCTAAGTTTAGACAAGCATACACACCCATGTTACCCAAACCCCTATCAAGATATAAATTACTACCACCCCAGAAAGTTCCCTTGTACCCCTTCCAGGTTCCTTCCCCTCCCTCCCAGAGGCAACCAGTTTCTTCCCCCCCCCCAGCACAGATTTATTTGCCTTTTCTGGAAAGTCACATAAATGGAATCATACAGTATGCATTCACTATGAAGATTTTTAAAAGACATTCCTAAGAGATTCAAAGTGCCTCTGAAACAGGGAGAGTAATAGCGATAAAGAAAACATCTGGGATCAGATTATGATTCATTCACTTAACATACTTATTAGGAGAACCTCTAGTCTAAGGATACAAAGATCAGAGTCCCTGCCTTCAGTGAGTTCACACTGTCCTGAAGGATACAGCACAAACATCATGGAGAGCGTGCCAGGGGAAACAGCCATCGTATGCCACAGAAACGACCTCATCCAGCCTGGGAGCCAGCAGGGAATCAAGGGAAGTTTACATTTTTACTTTGGCATTTGTCTCAGGCAGCCGATGTTCTGTATTTTCCACAAGCCTAGAATCTTCTAATTTAAAATTATTGTCCTTAAAGGGCAGCTTTCCAGTACTGAGCAGATGGATGTACGGCAAATTTGCTGAACCAGGAAAAAACTATAAAAGGCGCAAACAAATTATTAACGATTATGTTTTTCTCTAGTTCGAGTTAACACAAACTCAGATACATGTAGTACTGCCCTCAAACATAAGAACAACATGCTTTTCTGTTCCTGGCCCACAAGTAGCAGAAGCTCTGAAGCGCTCCAAACATCGACAGCAAACCTCTGATCTTGGGCTTCACCTTCACTTTCTCAAGGCCTATCACACCTAGGACCCCTGCCAGTTTTTTACTCTACTTCACCTTCATCGTTTACACACAAATTACAAATGAAAAGTAATTGGTTCCCATACTTTCTCCTACTCTGTCCTTCTCAAAAGTCTATGGCTATTTTTAGCAGGGAGTGAGGAGCCCAAGAAAACCTGGAAAATTCTTGTTCAATTCCTCTCTTCCCAGAAAAGTATGAGGAGTAAGAAAGTTCCAAAGCGGCTCTTTGCCCACAGGAAGGGAGGAAGCTGAAATACCAGGAGCTACCGAGCACCTGTAGACATGACGACCATTGATAGAGAAGTTGGTTTCATTTTCCCAGCGTCATAGGAGACAAGAAGCCTCTCCACGGAACTAAACGCATTCCCCATTTTGGGGGGTGCTTCAGATCAGGAGGTCACTGCCTTACCCACAAGGAACTGATTAGGACTGGTTCCCCAAAGAGTGGCGGAACTGAAACTTTCATTCCTGTTGGCGACTACTGAAGCAGTTTGCTTTTTTTTTTTTTATTTTATTTGACAGAGAGAGACACAGCGAGAGAGAGAGCACAAGCAGGCTTCCCGCTGAGCAGGGAGCCCGATGCCGGGGCTCAATCCCAGGACCCTGGGATCATGACCTGAGCCAAAGGCAGACGCTTAACGACTGAGCCACCCAGGTGCCCCGAAGCAGTTTGCTCTTAACTAGTCACTGCCTTCATGACACTTCTACAGTTAACAAAGTGGCGGTCAATGACACTAATTATTCTAAGGAAATAATCGTTAGGCTCATCAATCACTTAGGCTCATCCATGTTATGGACTGAACGTTTGTGTCCCCTCCAAAATGTGTATGTTGAAGGCCTAACCCCGATGTGAGGGGATGTGGAGATGGGGCCTCTGGGAGGGGATGAGGTTTAGATGAGGTCATGAGGTCCTTCTCATGAAGGACCTTTGGTGAAGTCTGCACACCAAGGAGAGGCCTCTCACCAGGAACCAAAGCTGCTGGCACCCTGATCTTGGCCTTCCTAGCTTCCAGAACTGTGTGAGAAATACATGTTTGTCGGTTAAGCCACTTACTTAGTCTGATATTTCACTATCGCAGCCCAAGCAGTTTAAGTTTTTTCCTTAAACAACCTCCATGACCCATCGGGAAATGGAGGTCTGACAGGATATTCCAGAATGCTATGACCTTGAATATCCATGTGTCCTTCCACTCTCTTGACTGACTCACCAGGCCTGCTGTCAGGCACGGGGCCAGGCACTTGAAGGAGGGGACACTCCAGCAGAGCCCCTGCCTTATGGAGCTGGCATTCAAAAGGGGAAGGAAACATCGAATAATCGGCCCCATTACAACAGGGAAGGGCTTATGAAAAACAGGAATGTGGTGGCATAAGAATGTACAAGAGGGGAACCTTAGTCCTGAAAGTGCAACCTGGCTTCCCTGAGAAAGTGACACTAAGTGAATGGGGTGGGGGGAGAGTGCTGTGCTCAGGGCAAGGGGACTAGGCAGGGGCAAGGGGTGAGGCAGCGAGAGTGAGAGCAGGGAGGTCCCCACAGCTGAGGGCAGTGACTGAGCAGGGCCCGGATCGGTGTCTACAGAATTACTCTTACAGCGATACACAGAATGGATCGAAGGGAGAGAATTTAGAGAAATCCTATTTTAGCCTCAATTTTTACTTCAAAATCAGCTATGCTCACTGGAAAAAAAGTTTCCCCTTGGAAACATCAGAAGCTAAAGGGATGAAGTTGGGCACCCGCCTCTGAGATCTGGAGCACCCCGCAGCTCCGCAGGGCTCCCTTGGGCCTGCTCCCCGTCACACCTGGAGAAACACCCCCCCACTCCCCACACCCTGTGCTTTACGACAGCTGTGGGACAGCTTGCGGAAGGGGGCTGAAATGACGTCACATCAGATGATATACAGGACACCCTTTTATCAATTCTGAAGTTCAGGATATTCACTTTTATGATGAATTCCAACCCGAAACTGGAGTTTTAGAAGCATGATGGCAATCACACCTACCTACTGGTCCTCATCAGACCGCCTCAACGCTCCCTTGAGACAGGAAGCACCTTAAAATTTCATGTGGAAACAGCGTGTAGCTAATAAAATTTCAATCTCCTAACAGAAAGGAATAGCTGTGAAGTTAAAAGTAGATATAAAAAAACTCAAAAAACAAACATCCAGATCATTTAGGTTGGGGGTAAACATGACCTGAAGGTATGCTATACCACAGAAATTTATTGATAAACTGACTATACTAAGTTTATACTCAGTAGGGAAAAGTTTACTTCATTTGAGAAAAACCATTAAAACACAAAATGCTTTGCAGTTAAGCTATCTAGAAAATTAACTTATCTGGAACTCCTCTTGACCAAATAAGATGGATAAATGAAGTACTGTTCTACCTACAAAGTTATCAGGGGAAGGTGCTAAAGAGTCAAAGTAGTACGCTAAATGTTTTCTCAACAAAAAGACAAACTTAAACCACAAAAAAGTGCTAGTAACCCTAACCCAACTACAAGAGAAGACCAAATAGAATGGACTTAAAAAACAAACAAAAAAAACCCAACTTTATTCCAAACAGAATTAGCAAAAGAATGTCAACTGACACATTTAACAGGTTTCATTTAAACTCAGTCACAAAACTCAAAAAATATTAAACAAAAACAGTTGTGTGTGCTTAACCACTTTTAATACTGAAACTTAAAAAAAAAACCCCAAAACATGTAGACTCCCCCACAATCTGCGAGCCATTTAGGCAAGCAAATACTTACTATTAAACAAAAAGACAGCATTAAAAATGAAAACTTCAAATTTAAGGAGAACGCCTGTTAAGTCTTTGATAGGCATTTATACATACAAGAAAACAAAGAATATTTTAATTTAAAGGAGATCAAGTCTGAGTGCTCACCCTTCCTTCACATGTGATCTCCTGTCTTGCCTTCACTTGGACTGTACACGTCTCCCTCCAGAACTTCAACCACACTGACCTACCATTTCCCCCATGGCATGATCAGCGGCCCCAAAGGCCTCCGGGTCCCATTCTGCACATCCTGTCTGCCGCCCATGATTCTACGTTTGCACAGCATGAGAATGGAGTATTACCACTGTAATCGAGCTAGGGAATTTCAGGTCTCCAAAGATGATTCTAGATACACAATTCTGTTTTATTGCACAGTTTACAATATATAGCAGGTGATTACATGACCAACCATAACGTAAGAATAATATTGACTACTGAGACAAAAACATCAACTGTCTCCAAACACAAATGAAACAAAGACACACAAATCTGCCACCTCAGAAAGGTTGTGTTTACTCTGTGATGCAGTCCTGAGGGCTCATACCACCCCA